CGTAAATCATTAATGAAATATGGTATTCAACAATGCGTTTGTCGAGACATTAGTAACTAAAAAAATTTCAGAAAAATATTTTTTAGTTAAAAAATTCAATTCGCAAAGTTGCAATTTACAACCTCGCGAACAGAAACGTTTTTTCGTGAAAAATTTGTTATAAAAAAAACTAGAAGTAATTTTTTGCAAACTGATAAAAGTTAAAATAAATACCACTTTAGAAAGAACGAAGAATGTTAGAGTAAAAGACAGAAGAAGTCGTGTTAGAAAGATAGCATACAGAAAGCGGACAGGATTGCACACGATGTTAGAAGGTGCAATTTAATTAAATACTTATTAAAAAATAGGTATTGTGGTTTATCCTCCTCCAGCTAATTGCCATACGGAGGCCACATTACCAAGGACCGCAAAAACAGGTTCGGCTCCCCAAGGAGCGTCATGACCCGCTCTACGGACCAAGAGTAAAGTGAGTTTAGGAAGAACGAAGATATGTTAGAGTGAAAGACAGAAGAAGTCGTGTTAGAAAGATAGCATACAGAAAGCGGACAGGATTGCACACGATGTTAGATGGTGCTATTTAATTAAATACTTATTAAAAAATAGGTATTGTGGTTTATCCTCCTCCAGCTAATTGCCATACGGAGGCCACATTACCAAGGACCGCAAAGACAGGTTCGGCTCCCCAAGGAGCGTCATGACCCGCTCTACGGACCAAGAGTAAAGTGAGTTTAGGAAGAACGAAGATATGTTAGAGTGAAAGACAGATGAAGTCGTGTTAGAAAGATAGCATACAGAAAGCGAACAGGATTGCACACGATGTTAGATGGTGCAATTTAATTAAATACTTATTAAAAAATAAGTATTTAATTTTTTTTTTAATTATAGGTTCGATATAAATTCATTTTATTATAAAATAACTAAATTAGATTGCTAGTGGGTTCGATTTAAAAAGAAACCTTTTAAATCTTACTAACGAAGTAAATTGTTAATATATCCGTAGACGGCATATAAAAACATTTTTATTATTAAGTTTTCTTTACATCTTTTTTTGATTATAACTTAGACTTCACTGCAGTAGAAAACATTATTTTGAGGTACATGAAACAATACACATTTGATGTATAAACAGTCCATTGCGCCTGTACCTATTTTAGTCAGTCGATGTATGGACAATCTTTGCGCTTTACCCTATTTAAATCAGTCGATTCGTTTTAAATCAAATTTATTCATTAATAAATATTGACTTAAATGTAAATACATAACAATTTTGTATTAGGAAATTTACTCGAATAAACTTTAAACAATTTAACTTGAAACTTTTGGCAAAAATGTAATAAAAAGTATAAACGGAGCGGATCCGGTTTTTTCCTAGTTTGCTATATAACTACAATCATTCTGGCTTAAATATTAATACAACTCTCATTAGATTAAACATTATACATTATTCACCGGGTTATTTTACTTTGCACGTTTTAGAATAAGAAATTAATCGCCATCCACGTTTTCCAAATTAAAACTAACTACCTCGTTTTTCTTTTATCACCTTATATTATCTTATATATTTCGTATTAACTGGTTATTCGTACATACGCAGCATTCACGCCGCTTTAGTGTTCGATATACCCAAGATGAAAGGTAACTTCTTCTTTATTTCTTAGTTTTTATGTTTTTATGTTTTACATGTTTTTAGTGCTTCCATTTTACCATGTATCTTTTATTATATGTATACCAATTATATGTTTAGGTAATATAACTAAATAAGTTCAACTGCCTGTTGGTTGTTTATATACCGTTTTTATTTTGGTTATTTGTTACTTTGATTTTGTTTATCAATTGTTTCTACATTTTTTCTGTATTCATTGTGAATTGTTGTCTAATTATGTTTATTTGTTCGCATCAATTTGTCCTTTTTTCAAATATATTTTCTAAGTTAGGCATTTTTAAGCTCTAATTTTGTCATGTCGTTTACACATTTTCCAAATAACTATTCTAGTTTTTGAGTTTTTTATCCCCCATTTTTAGCATTATTTAGCGCTTTTAACTTAAGATCACCCGTCTCCATTACTTTTTTATATGTGGCTTAATGCGCTTAAATTCTACCTGCCCCCTCTACTACATTAAGAGATCGTCCGTAAAGCACGTACACTCGGATGCAGTAGAGGGAGTCTGCAAATGACGTAAATAAGGCGATGGGCAGGGGTGAATTATAAAAGTGATAAGATTAAGATAAGGCTAAATTAAAAAAAACATCATAAAATGTTAGGTAGGTAGATTAAAAGCGTAGGTTTTTTTATTGAGGTGGAGGGTACTAAAGAAAGCGTATATCAAAATGCGGGAGAGCAAGGTACATCTCAATATTTTCTGAAAAAAAAATTTTCTAATGTGATAATGACCTATATATATTTTTTTAGATTGTTGTGTATTTCGGGTTTTTTCATAATTGTTGATTAAATTAAAAAAAGATTTAGGAAAAAAATATTTATGCGCCAAAAAGCAAAAAAGTTTTGTTTTTTTTTTGGACAAATTTTGCAAAATTTTTTCCAGTCCAGTTCGAGTCAATGTTTCAAGAGTTTTAAATTTTTGTTTTCTTTTTAGGTTTGATATATATATATATATATATATATATATATATATATATATATATATATATATATATATATATATATATATATATATATATATATATATATATATATATATATATATATATATATATATATATATATATATATATATATATATATATATATATATATATATATATATATATATATTTATATATATATATATATATATATATATATATATATATATATATATATATATATATATATATATATATATATATATATATATATTATAGCTACAATTTAGAATGGATCCTTCCACAAAAAGAAAACGTCGAAAATTATGAAAAAAGTGCAACAGAATATTTTCGAACAATACTTTAGCGCAGCCAATGACTCGTTTAATAAGTGAAGTTATTTCTAGCAGCGACAATTTGTTGGAGGAAGACCAAATTGAAGCAACACCTATTGACTATTCCAAAAAAGGTATTGTTAATTATAATTCAGAAGGTAATATATCAGATACAAGTATCGATCAGCTGACAAACTCATTATTATCAGTATCTGATATCGATGTATCTACTGATGGTGAAAATGATAATGTTACTAGTGTGAGCAAATCTTTAAATAATTTTGGAATCGAAACAGGTCAAAGCTATGCCAATATGAAAGTTCTTTTAGAAAAAATGATTATTCATCACCCTGAATTACCGAGAGATCCACGAACACTGTTTAATATCTCTAAAAATGCAATTTCTCCTAACTTACATGATGTTTTTCCTAGTAAATACTACCATTTTGGTATTCAAAATGGTTTATGTCAACTCATTCCTATTTTGAAGCAAGCTTGTTTGATTGGTGAAAATAATCTATTTAAACTGAAGGTTGGTATTGATGGTTTACCTTTGTTTAAAAGCACGATTGCTGGATTTTGGCCTATTACAGCAGCAATTGATAAGATCAGTAATTCAGTATTTTTAGTTGGGTTGTATTATGGTGAAAATAAACCAAAATCATGTCAAGAATTTACATTTAATTTTATTTAGTAAATAAAATGTAACTTCTTTCTGAATTCGGATTTATTTTTGAAGAAATTACTTATAACGTCGAATTTTTATTTTGCAATTGCGAAATGCCTGCAAAATCATTCTTGAAATGCGTAAAAGGTCATACTGCTTATTTTGGTTGCGATAGATGTGAAATAAAAGGAACGAATTTCAAACATTGCAGAATATATGAAGGAGAATCAACCTTAAGAATTAATGATTCCTTTAGAAATAGACGTCAAAAAGAACATCATTACGAAATGTCACCTTTTGAATCTATTGCCCATCTTGATATGATTAAGTTCTTTCCTTTTGACTACATGCACCTTTTTTGTAAAGGAGTATTTGTGCGTTATTTAGAAATTTTACGAAGCGGTCAATTGCCCTATCGTCTAAGTGTAAATGGCATGCAAAATTTAAACACCGATATATCAATGAGTCATGACTGTACCCCTTTTGAATCTCCCAGAAAACCACGTAGTATGAATCATCTTAATAAGTGGAAAGCAACTGAAACACGATATTTTTGTTTGAATCTTGGACCGTTTTTATTGCAACGTCATGTGAATATAGAATATTTCCATAATTTTTTGTTGTTATCAACAATATTTAGAATCATTTGTCATCCAATTTGGAGCATTTATTTAAACAGTTTTTGTAAAGACCTAGTCAAAACATTTATTACAAACTCAGCACTTCTTTTTGGTCGTGAATTTATCACTATGAATGTTCATTGTATGCTTCATATTGTTGATGATTGTAAAACATAATTTAAGGCAGCTAAAACCAATTGCTTTGAAGCCAGTAAATTTTTGTAAATTATCGTCGTGTATTTTTTTTAACGAAACTACAAAGATTTCATATTACGCTAAATGTTATTTTAAAACATTCTTGTTGTCAAATAAAAAACCAAATTGTTATGTTATGCTTTTAGACAAAAAGATTGTCAAGATACGTAGTATTTATAATACCAATCAAAATGATGATATATGGTTGAAGGCATGTTACTTATTAGAACAAACTGATGCGTATGATTATTCCCTAAAATCCTCTGCGTTGGATATTTATAAAGGAACGCATTTTTCCAAATCTTTAACTATAGTTCCTATTAATTTAGTTTATTGTAAACTATTTTCCTACAAAAATAATTTTGCTCCAATTTTGCATACTTGTAGTAGTTAAATTATATTATCTTAATAATATTATATTATCTTAATAATATTAGTTTTGCTAACAATTTGTTTTTTATTTATTTATTTATGCTTTATTTAGGTGCTGTAATTCCAATTACTATTTTTACATTTAACTATTAAATATGAAAATTAAAAAAGGGGTAATTTTTTATAAATCATACAAAATATTACTTATTTAACAATGTAAATTTATTATAGATGTATATTTTAATTGAGTTTGCTGACAGTTCTATAGCCGTAGCTTTACATTCGTGGCTAGAGTCGGATGAAGCTGACCAAAACGGCTTCCACATGGTTGCATTTCCCGATTTTAAGTATACAAAAACACGATATATGCTGAAGAATAAATTGCCAGCACTAACTACATGGGAAACTGTTCCATGCAAAGTTTTATACAAACATGGTAAGTGTGCATAGTAATTAGGAAACTTAAAAAAAACTTAAAATCTAGCAGACAATAATGCTTGACTGATAGATTGGTAGGATGATTTGCTAGATGAATTAAGATTAGATGAACATTTTTAATACCAAAGAGTTTTGTTTTTAATTCTGATTACCGTTTTTTTCTAGAATCTCTCAAAAATATTTATAAACACTGCAAAAAATACTCAGAGACTGGAAAATTACTTTCGACGGACTATGAAAATAGACGAACTCACAGACGACCTCTGTACCTATCGGACGAGGAATACGAAACAAATGACAAAAAAAAGTCAAAACTGACTCACAAAGAAAACGAAGTTGACTTAGCATCACCACCAACTCCACCAACAACACTGAATACGCAACTTCTTCATTTATTTCCAACTGCACCATCACCATTATATTCAGCACCTTCACAACCTTCTTCTTTGTTTTTATCTCAAAGTCCACCTCGTCCAACACTGCCAGTAATTGAAACTTCATCCGAATATTTTGGATTATCTGCATCAGTTCATACTTGCTTTAAAGCTCGACAAAAGACTCCAAGCTCGAAGGAAAATGAAATTGAGAAATCCGATTTCCCAATTTCAAATACAGCTATGCGTTGTAAGTTTTTATGATAATTTGTTAGTTAGCATTAACCACAACAGTGGTTAGTTAGCATTAACCACAATGTTTTTTACCTAATCTGTTATTTTTATACTGAAATAGTCCCTAAATTTAATATGATTTTATTTGTTTATTGTAGCGTGGTTTCAAGAAATATTCACCAGTCTCATTCGGATTGAGGACACTCAAAAAACCCTAATGGCCATGGTGGTTGGTCAAAGCAACACCAAATCTGCTGTTAATGCGCCGGTGGAAGCTTTAAAATTCAGCACAACAGCAGACGAGCTAGATAGTCACCTGAGTTATTGGCTGGACCTAAATGATTGTGAACGTCAGTCCTTGGTAACTTTAATTTAAAATAATCTTTACTTAAAGCTATAGTTTTAGCTAAATGTATGCAGTTAGTTTTTTCTATTTCCAATTTAAACTGTTATTGTGCCTATGTATTTAAATTAAAGATTGCATCTTTGTCCAATGTCACACTTGCATCACAAAATCTCTCTGGCAAGCTTTCTAATATGTTGTTGGCCCTGGCACCCAGCTCAGTTTGGTCTTTAGGGTTAACCCTAACCCTAACCCTGCCGGGATGGGAAAAGAGGGAAAAGGAGTATTAGCCTAAGTATTCTTCCTATCATAATAGGTAAAAGTGATTGATTTCTATATCTATAACCTAGCCATGCTGTATTTTTTATTTATTTTGTCAAAAAAAAGTTATACTGTTGTAGTAATGTTATTTCAATAATTGTATAAATGGATACATAATTTTTTTTTACCAATTCCATTTTTTTAAAGATGTAGATACTATTTTTATATTTTATAGATTCTCTGCAGCTAAGATCGCAAAAACGCATTAACGCCCATAAGGTGGCAGAGGCGCTCGGGGATCATTTAAAACGAATGCCAACGCATGCAAAACGCGCAGCAGTCAAGGCAGAAGCCAGACTAATAAGCACACCTAGTCGGGCACCAAAGAAGGCTAATATTGCACCTGAATCTATTGGGAATGATAATTCTGACAATAACGCCTTTGATGATATTTGCAACGATGATATTTCGTTTACCAAAGACAGTGATTAGATGAAAAATGTACACAGATTATATTACTATGTTATTAATTTTTTTCTTTATAATAAACTTCTGAATTAAAGGCATTTTTCTGAACGTCATCAATAAACTTTATATGAAATAAAAAATGTATATGAGGAGCGGGGGGGGGAGGGTTGTTAGGTGCGAACGACCCCCTTTGTTTGCAAACTCTATTTCACAGAAGTTTTATATGTAAAATCTAAAAACAATTATATTTGCTATTCTAATCATTTTTTTTTCTAAAAATTTTCACGTTACGGTGAAATAGTATTAACGTTAACTTCAATTTTTTTAACAATTTTTTTAATTAACCAGCTGTGTTTTTATTACCCCACAAGCAAAAATGTGTATATAATGTCAAGTTTGTCAGATATAATGTTTTTATTAATCTAACAATATGTTTAACGATAAGATTACGGTTAGTATCAAGTGATTTTAGAATATGTTATATTTTTAGTTTGATTGTTATTTATTTGCTAAGTTTTTCATATTACCAGTGTTTGTCCACTCCTCGCTATATATGAGGCTTACCCTTCCAGCTAAATGCTTTAGGCTGTAAGAGTATGTCTTGTCAAGAATGTTAAAAATAAATAAACTACTCTCATATGATTACGGGAACACTTTTAAAATTAACGCATAAATTAACCAATTGGTTGCAACTAGTAAATTAAAATGGCGCAATATTTGAAAGTCGCCGCAGGTGATTATTAGGTCAAAATGTTACGTATCGTTACGTAAAATGTTACGTTTCGGTTACGTAAAGATAACGGACATTTTGCACGTAACGTTACGTTACAATGTTACGTATCGTTACGTAAAATTTTACGTCTCGGTTACGTAAAAATAACGGACATTTTGCACGTAACGTAACGAATCTTGTTTACGTTACAATACGTAACGTAACCTAAAAATGTTTTAGGGGCTACAGGCCAATAGATTATAAGTTTCATAGTGTAAAGCAGTAATATTAGTGTACTTGTGGTGGCAGCATATTTATAACAAAGATGCAAAACAATACTTTATTTTATTCGCTAATATTTTTATTTTATTTCTTTTTTTTATTTTAATTTAAGTAATCTGTATAAATAAGCTAGAGTAATCCAGATTTAGGCAAATCATGCTATTAAACCTTTGCTTAGAGTAAAACGCGCCGTATTTTGGGCATAAAATTTATGTATATATATGTAGGGTGAAAGAAATTTATATATTTTATATACTTTACATCAAAATTAAAAGTTTTAACTGTTAGTTTCATGCATTTAAACAAAAAAAAAAGTCTAAATGCATATAAATATTAGGTTGGATCAATTGATCCACTTTGGGGTTTCAAGGTATATAAAAAACCTGGGGCTTCTAGTGTTAAAACAATATTGAAGTCACTTCCGTTCCTTCGCGGCTGTAAGAGTAACATGTGCTTTCGAAGCTTTTTTTTTAGCATATTTTATTTAATTTGATATAAATAATTTCCGCATAATTACGTATAATTTTCAAGTGGACTTTGATCGCTTTTTTGTTCGATAACCCTAAGATGGCATTTAAATTATTTAAAAGTTGAAAAGCTGCAACTGAAATAATATCTGTTTATGTTTTTAATCATCGTTTATTTGATTTAGTTACATGGTTTTTTATCTTTTTTTTTAGCTTTGTTATAGTAACTTAATTGGTTTTTTATTTGTTATTATTTTCTTTTTTTGTTCAAGTTATTTAACTATAATGTTCATTATTAAAGAACAACAACAATGAAAAAAAAAATTAGGCTTAGTTACACTTTTTTGTTATTATTATTTTTTATTCTTTATAGTTATAATAATAATTAATACTAAAAAAAGAGTCGAGCTATGTTACAAAGAAAGTCTGGCCACTCAAAAGCATTTTCTAAACGGACATTCAAAGGTAACCAACACACACAAAAAAACAAAAACACAAGAAGAACCAGTTGAGATTCCGTCTTCTAACCTACCTATTTCTTCAAATAAATCTGTCATATTTATCATCAGATACAACATTACCTTTTATAATCACTAATGAAGCCAGACCAATAAAGGTTGCATCATCTTCATTCACGAATGACACCAGTTTGTTTCCTTGTGTAAATTCTTCAAACCCAACTGTATATTATCGATTTTTATACTTTTTTTCTATTGAAATTTGTATGGAAATTATTAATTTAGTTGTAACACGCCCTGAATGTGACAAAAAGACTATGAGTCGAACATTTAACGTCTTGAGAAAGCAAGGCTTGTCTATACCATTATTGTTACAGTGTTCAAGTTGTTATTGGTGTACAGCCTTTCATTCAAGTAAAGAATGTAAATGCAAAAGCAGTCATGGTAGACCTGTTTGAAGTTTATGTTCGTTTTGTTATTGCTATGAGGTAAATTGGAAAAAGTTATACCAGTTTAGAAAAACTCTGTGGATGAAAAAAGTAATTAGAATAGTGCTTTTCCATTGCTATTAAGCAAAAGATATTATAAGAATATAGAAAGCATCAAATGTGCCCACGTACTCCTGATAGTTGGTGTAAATATCAGGCTGAGAAAATAAATGGCATAGCAACATACAAACATAAGGGAGGAATTACCAATTGTTGTCCTTGAAGAAATAAAGCCTGTTTTTTTTTTAAGTTTAAGTGATGACAATTTATAAAAAAATATCTTTATAGCAAAACTCAAAATAACTAATAAATAAATGAGTCACTAAATGGAATGATTTGGAAACGGTTTCAAAAAGATATATACGTTTGTAAAACCACTGTTGACCTAGGTGTAGCTTCTGCAGTTATAAATTTTAATGATAGTTCAACTGGAACTCTAAAATTTTTAAAGGGCATAGGTGTTCCAGGATTTTATGCAAAAAAGTTCTGTGTTTCAAATAACAACCAAAGAGTAATGTCAATGGAAAAGAAATCGAAAAAAGCATATTCAAAGAGTTCATAAAAGGTTTCACAAATACTAATCAATGTAGAAGAAATGAAGTATGGTTATGGTTTATATTAGAGAGATTTTTTATTATTTTTTATTTACGGTGATCAATCATGAAAATCTTTTTGTTTTTGAATATTTAAAAGAAATTTAGTTATATTTTAGTATATTATTACTTAAACTGCATTTATCTCAAAATTGAATTTTTTGAACGATGCGTCATATAACTTTTAATTTATTTGAGCTTTACTCTTGAAATTTTATATGGTGGTTATTTTTTATAAGATACAAGTTTAGAACCAACATTTTTTGAAAAAATATTTTTCGGTCCAGAGTTACCCAAGCCCAAAGTTTTATTTTTAAGCTTTTTTATAAGCAAGGTATTTGAATTTTAATTACCTTAGATCTAGTTATGTAATCAGGCTAATTCTGCTCCCATACCTGTAAAATTGTACAATAAACAAACTGTACAAATTTTGTTATCAAAATTTGACGCACCGCAAAGTGACCTTTTTGAGACCTTTGGACCCAAAAAAGGGTTTTCTGTAATTTTTTTTTTTTTTTTTTTTAAAAAAAAGGCATAGTTACCTGTATATAATTGTTGTACCAAAATATCAAATTTAAATAGTAAGAATTAAAGAGTTTGGGTTTTTCACACAAGTACCACCTTTTCTCATTTTCTGTTGATTTTCAGATATGTATTATTTATACTAAAGTATTGTATTATTATTATTAGACCTATGTTTTTATACGATTCTTAATCAGCATAAAAGTCTATCATAATCAATCATTAAAAAAAAAAAAAAGGGGGGGGGGGAGAAACTGCCCAATATGCTATTATTAATAGGATATGATAATTGTGAAAGTGCTTCAGCTGAACAATATCTCTTTTTATAACTTAATAATAAAACAATACTTTAATATTAATAATACATAATATAATATTAATAATATATAATGTAATATTAATAATATATAATATTATATTGATGAAAATATTATTGATATATGTGATATGTTTCAGCAGTACGATATCTCTTTTTAAAAAATGACGTTCTGCTAAAACATTTTGCATATCACAAACTTTATATAAAGACTTTATCTTCAAATAGCTTTTGGTGAATACCTGAACCCTAACCCTGAATATTCCTGATATATATATAATATTAAAAATTACATAAATCAAATGAAGACTTTGTACTTCATACTTAATATAGTTTTGCGATTTTAGTCAACGCATGCGCTCTTTGCGGCTAATTTGGAGTTTACTGGGAAAATGTTTACATTTAAACTAAACGTTTACGGCACGTTTATACGTATTTTTGATGAAAATGTGGTATTGAACTCGAATTAAAAACTTAAAACCAGATGCGCATTTTTCTAGTATCAAAACCAGTTATCAATACTCCGGCTATTTACTACAATACCAGATGTACCAGCTGTGCTAGGACAATACAAAAATAAGACAAATAGAATACGTATTGCATACGTCTTGTACCGGCTGGGGGGAACCCATGATAAATTTTCATTGCGAGGTTAGAATTATTTTATTGTATATCCATTTTTTAAAAAATTTAAGTTATTAACTACTTTATATAACTCAAAATAACATTTTTCTGCTATATTGAAACCTAAGTTATAACAAAAAAATTGCGGAGAAAACGTAATTAATAAAAGCCTTTTTATATAACGTATCTTAAAGTATTTATTTTTTAAATCATTTTATCTCAAAACTCAAAAATGTGGAGATAGAACAAAATAATTCTAACCTCGCGTAATGTCACAGTTTAAAAGGAAGAGAGTTGTGTCGTTAGCAAACATTATTGAGTTTAGCCCTGCTGATGCACAATTTGTACATAAATCAAGAAAAGCAATGGACCAAGAATTGACCCTTGTGGAATTCCACATAAAATTTTAAGTTGTTCTGATTCCTTACTTACATATTGTTTTTTTTCAGTGAGGTAGCTTTTTACCCAATCATAGGTTTTGTTTATCACTCCGTAGTGTTTTAATTTTTCTTAAAGAATTAGGTGATCAACCGTTACAAATCCTTTTGATAGGTCTATAAATAATCTTAGAGTGAAGTTATTATTTTCAAATCTATTAGTAATTTGGTCTACTATTTCAATTAGTACGAGTTCAGTTAAATGATTTTCCAAAAACCATTTAACTGAATCTCCATGGATTACAAGAGATTTAAGAAAATCCTCAAAAATAAAACGAAAACTGTATATGAAATACCTAAAACTGAAAAAAACACTTTATAAAACATATGCTAAACAATTTGAAAAACAAAGAAAAAACCTTTAAAAAAAGTACTACATTAACTTATTTGAAAAATACAAAAAAGATTCTGAAAAAACATGGAAACATATAAATGACATCATCAGTAGTCATTAAATAAAAATCTGCTCTTTTCCCAAAGGTATTGAAAATGAATGACGAACTTATGATTGATCCTATTAGAATAGCAAGCAAAATAAATAAGTATTTCGTCTCAGACTTAGCTAAAAATATCTAAATCGTCACTAATTAAGTAAATGACACTCCCTCTCCTTTTAATTCTTCTCTAATTATTTTTGAAACAACATTCGAAGAATTTGAAACCGCCTAAAAATGGTTAAACCTAATAAAGCCATTGGACCAGACGATATTAATGGAAATATTATTATTGGTTCTTATGACATTAAAATTCTTTTTAAAATTTTTAGTTGGTCAATGAAACATGCAATATTTCTATATGCTATAAAAATAGCTAGAGTTACTCCAATTTTTAAAGGAGGTGGACTAACTAAACTCAATAACGCCCGATTTCGGTTGTCAAAAAGTTTTGAAAAGAATTTTGTTTAATAGAATTTATAAAAATCTAACTATAAATAAATTATTATACAACAATAAATATTGATCCAAGAAAAATAATTCTGCTGAACATGAAATCCTTCAACTTACTAAAAGTAATGCAAATTCCTTTTAAAAATCACAATATACTGTAGACATCTTTATAGATTTATCAAAAGCTTTTGATACTATTGATTACGAAATTCTTTTTAAAAAACTGCAACTCTATGGAATCACAGGGAATGTACTATTATTATAAAAAAACTATTTATAAAATTGGAAACAATTTGTTAAAATAGATTCATCCTCATCATCAAAATTACAAGATATAACATGCGGAGTTCTACAAGGATCCATACTAGGACCTTTGCTCTTTTTAATTTAAATTAATGATCTCTATAAAGAATCAAGTTTAACAACAATTATGTTTGCCGATGACACCAATTTTTCTGACAATAATTTACCAACATTATTTAACAAAATGAATGATGAACTCATTAAAATTTTTACCTGGTTTCAGTAAAAAGAATTATTAATAAAAATCGAAAAAACTAAAAGGACCTTCTTTTACTCAGCTTTAAAAAAAAATCTACTTTCCAATATATGAGCAGTCTTGGCGCAGTGGTTTGAGTTCTGACTCAGAACCCAGAGGTTCAAGGTTTAACTCCAGCTTTAGCCCAACAAGCGACATTGGTACGGAAGAAGACGTGAACTTCTAGTTAAATGCTCTGCCGCGGTGCTCAGTGATAAGACCGTATGGACTTCTGGGAGCACCTAAATAACATTAAAGAATATAATATTAGACCATTTCAAAATTGTATATTAAAAAAATAACTTTTGAATTTTACTGAGCTACCTTCTAACTTGATGTGGTTTGTGGTCAGAAAAATAAGTTAAAAGTTGTAAGCTTAAATAATGTGTTTTAGTGACTGCTCAAGAGATTCAAAATTGTAAAATAAATGGTTAGAAAAGAGTAAACATTCTTATCCCTAATTTTGAATGTATGCTACAACATATTTAATAAGTGTGTTATTAAAGTTTTTACAACAGTAATGAATAATCACTTGCTATTCTGCTTTAAAGTTTTTCTTTAAAGGAATGATCATGAGATTACTGTGATATTTTACAATCTGAAATATTAACTGCCGTTCAGCTTCATCAAGTGTTAGCACATTATTGAAGTCTGTTGCTAACTTTGCAGCACGCTCAGCACAGTCGTTGGTGACTCTCATGCTTGCTACTTTTTGCTCGGCAGTGAGATTGACAGGAGAGAAAACCCATGCAGCTGGATTATAAGTAAGAAAAATAGGTTCAATTTTAAGCGCAGTGAACAGATTTATTGATCTTTGAGTAACAAATTCTAACAAAGTCTTTTCCTGATAGTTGTCAACTAGTTTTTAATCAACTTTTCTGAGATCAGTTTTCATTAGTGGTTTCTTCAGAGCAACAATCATAGCCTCTTTCTCACTATTAGAAACCAAGTCAGAAAATAATGCAAGTCCAATCAAATCTTTGCTCAAATACCACATATGTCCTATTATTTTTTTAATTGCAATATTTGCTACTTTTTAGTCTACAGTAAGATAAGACTCGAGAGTTTGGAGTAGACAAAGGTCATTTTATGAAGCATCAGAACTGTTTATAGCTTTAAGCCAGATTTTCGCATGAATCGTAATAATGAAAAGACATATACGACGAAGACCTTTTTAGTTTGTATGCTGTAAGTTTGAATTGTCTACAAAACAAATAGATTTTAAGACAGTATATTCCTTTTGCTATCCACCTGGCACAATGATAGGCACCTGGAGGACTGAAATCGGTCACATCATAATTTTCACCCAATGTGATTAGGGTCGGTCGGATGAACTCCAGATAATCTTTTCGTGGTTTATTTTTAAGGGAGAATTTATTTCTAAGAAATTCTGACATATTTTCCTTTTTTTAGTTTAGTCATACACATTCATAACTGTCAGTTCAGATTTGACTTCAATGTCAGAAGTCTCAATTGTACTATATTGGGTAGTGTCAAAAAGTCCAGTCCAGTGTCCAGTGTTCCTTGAACCGACGAAATATTCCGATCTGTGGTCCTGAAGACTGGTCAAATACTGCAGCCAAAGTAATTTCAAGGATCTGATCCCTGCAGGCTAAAAAAATAAGCGTTTATCATATGCCTGCTGAATAATAGTAATTGCACCGGTGTGAACACCAGTGTTGTAACTTGTTGTGTCAGAACAAAGACCTGCCAGCCAATCTGGAACATCTTTCCATTTTTCCATTACTTAAACAACCGAGTTTTCCATTAGCTCACCAATTTTCCATTAGCTCACCAATACCCATGAAAAGTTTAGGAATGGCCAATAGTTTTTCAACATTTAAACCTGATATACTTTTTCACTTCAGTTGGCTTTTTTTTTGCAATGTCCTTCTTGGAAATGTCGAAACACGTTTTTTTCACGTTCTTTAAATTCTAATTCTTCCGTACCCATTACCATTTTCCTTTTTTCTCTTTGGTCTTTTAGAAACATTATACACTGTAAAACTTTTATATGTCTGTCACAATCTGCATGGTCCACATCATATAGCTTACTCAACTTATTTATCCAACCAGTTTCCATTTTTAACTGTTTTTTAGCTCTCCGAGGCTTGTTCTTTCTTATTTTAACATAAGACTTATACAATACTTTTACTTTAGCAATACCATTCCATTTTTTGTTGTTGGAATATTGGAATTAAACCATATTTGTAAAACCTCATCATATTCACATAAACATTTAAATATTTTTGTCAATACTCAAATTAATTGAAACTTAGATGAATTGGCTTTTTTCCATTAGGAGTATCTAGATTAAACCAATTACCAATTAAAACAAACATAGTTGTAAACAAATTTAAATTAACACTATGCAGTATAGAAATGAGTTATTTTATCAAATTTAGTAGATTAGTTGATAAAAGCAGATAAATAAAGTTAATTGAGCTGTCACTTAATGTTGGAATAATGTCATGAAATTTTGTAGAGTTATTTTTTTCATCAATTAACATCATTTAAACACCTAGCCAATTAACTTTTCAATTTTTTTTTTGAACTGGTCTAATATATATATATATATATATATATATATATATATATATATATATATATATATATATATATATATATATATATATATATATATATATATATATATATATATATATATATATATATATATATATATATATATATATATATATATATATATATATATATATATATATCTTTTTTGTTTATTGATAATACTGAAATAAAGAGAGCTAAAGTTACCAATTTCTTGGGTAACAACAAAAAAAATAAATACTATCTTTGAAATGAAAAATTTGTTCAACAACCTTTTTCGCATACAAGTTTTGGTAGATCTTGTATCTCCAAAATTTGTATGCAAAAAGTTTGTGAATACTAAGAAAAAATTCAAAATCCTTTAAATTCACTTCTAGTATTTACATAAATGTTATATATCTTTTACGTTATTTACTTTTACTTTCGACGAAAATAAAAAAATATTTAACACAATAAACGAAACGTTGAAAATCAATGCGGTTCTCGACGACAAAACTTTAAGGCCTTCTATGAGATTCAGCGTTCTTTTTCTTACAAACTTAATCAATCTTGTAAACAGTTCATTATATTATTATAATTGTAACAGAGTTAATACTGTTAATATTTAAAGAAAGTCCAAAAATTAAATAAATAAATTATTTTCATTAACATGGTTATAGTTTCTATTTTAAATTACACGTTCAAATATTTTTGAAAGTACAGAAAGTACTGAAAGAGGCCTATAATTAGAAATCAATATTTTTGTAAATTGGACATACTTTTGCCAACTTTAGGGTTGCAGGATAAATCGTTTCTTTTTTTGAAGGTTTTGAAAGGGAATAAAGTTTTTGTTTGAAATAACTATAACCCTAACCCTAACCCTAACCCTGAATAAAGTTATTTCAAACAAAAACTATATTTAACGTTTTTAGCAATAATATTACTAAAAACGAAGTTAGGTGATTTATTATTTTTTTTTTAAAAAAAAAGCTTTATCATACTCTGTATGATAAAGCTTTTTTTTATGAGAAAAGTGGCAATTGTGCAGGGTTTAGGATTAGGATTAGGGTTAGGGTTAGGGTTAGGGTTTTTGTGCAGTATCGCACCATTTAAAGATTTAAGATTTTTGTGAAAAGAGTTTGGTGTAGTTTTAACTTTTTTAGCAAGGTTAGGGACTAATGTTTGGATTTAATCTGAAAACATTGCTGAAAAATGATGCCCCCTAGTGCTCACACAATTGTTCTTGTGGGTATGTGTGCACATATGATGTTTTATATGGTAGGTAGACTTTGGTAGGCTTAAGTTAATTTAATGAAAACTTCATATACTATTTTATTAACAAGAAAAAACACGAGTACACATCAACTTTTATCAAGGCGTCTTACTTTAACGGTTCTTTCATTTTCCGCATTCTTTTTTATTCAATTTCTTTCTTTATTTTAACATAATCTTTAACTGTAAACTTTTTTACTTATATATTTGTATAAAAATTTTAATGTAATGAAGTACAAAATATATATATATATATATATAAATATATATATATATATATATATATATATATATATATATATATATATATATATATATATATATACATATATATATATATATATATATATATATATATATATATATATATATATATATATATATATATATATATATATACATATATATATATATATATATATATATATATATATATATATATATATATATATATATATATATATATATATATATATATATATATATATATATATATATATATATATATATATATATATATATATATATATATATATATATATATATATATATGTATATATAGGCAAATCGAGATGACCATATGGAATCTAAAAGTTTGTGAAGAAAGATTCCTATCTATTCTTGCAAAATCTTCCTCCTAGTTGGACTACAGCTAAAGAATACGTAAAGAGTGTGGATGTTTCTTGAATAAATTTTTATCTCAGCGAAAGATTCAACTGCACGTACTCCAGCTAATTTTAGAGTATGGGCGCTAGAAGGAATATATAGAGCTTATGGGTTCTTCTGTAAAATTGGAGTTTGCCCCGATATAAATTCTATCCCTATTAGAGCCGTTGTCGTAATCAACAAATTAAGACTTGTAAGGTGATGTAATAAAGCTTTTAAGTGCTTTTAACGGTTTGAAAGGTGATGTAATAAGGCATTAGTGGACAGAGCTGTTATAATACGCTTAAAAAATATTACCATATAAAAATTGTAACCCCCTCAAATTGAGGGGGGTTCAAAGCTTATACGGCCATAATTTTCGACGGCTAAAATATTCAACTATGAAATTTAAAATTTATTGATAAATATACGTCTAGTTAAGAATAACACAAAAAATATTTTATCAACATGTTACTCTCACATTTAAGGCTGGGGCGGAAAAATTTTGGAGATTTTTTGTTCCAGGCTCGAATCATCGCACTTTTTTGGAAAGCACCCTTATTTGACATAAGTATAAACATATAAATGTTCGAAGCTTGCTCCATGTCTGGAAGTAAGCTATCTCAAAGAGCAAAAAATGCTAGATCTGCCCATGACATACTCATCACACCTACATGCTTTTTTTTTTTGTTTTTCCTCAAAGCCGAAATATAAAAACCGTAATAACTTATTTTCAAATACTAAATAAAAAATAAACTTGACAAATTATACATACTAGCAATATACAATACAAAGCAATATACAATACGAACTCAAATATTTACATAAACTCAGTTTTGAGACAAACCCAAAAACACTTTTAGTAGAATAAAAAATAGGATTGAGAATCGAATAAAATAAAAACGGGAAACTGATATGGAAACGGGGCAATGTGGTATAATTTGAACTTTTAAATGCAGTCATGCGACCACAGCTTTTTAGCCAGCTAGGTAAACTCATTGGGCATTACCCAGTGGCAGAAAGTTTGCGTTTACCAGCTTCATCCATTAAAAGTTTAGCTGGAAATATTCCTTGGTGTGGTTTTATTTCTGAAAATTGTAAATAAAAACTGAAAAAAGTTCCTTCACCGTGTGAACGGCTAGCGAGTGACACACAACATATTGATATAAGTGAACTGGATTTGATACTTTGAGGATTAAACTTAGCTAGTAAATTAGACATAATAATAATAGTATAGACATAATAATAATTAACAGTATAGACATAATAATAGAATTAACAGTATAGAGTGATAGCAAGAGCACCGTAGGATGGTTAAACACAGTTTTGAAGGAAAAGTATAGCGAAAAAACTCGGGGAATTTTTCAATTTTTAATACTGTTAAGGAAGTGGTAAAAACATCTAGATCGGAGTACAATGGATTCCATCTGAAATAAATTTGGCCAATAGACCTTTACGAATCCTCAAAAAAGTGCAGAACAGTGTGTACAACTGATTTGCTTGAACAAAAAGACATGGAAAACTTATTGAGTTGGTCATTTTGGTGTCGCTTGAACATTACAACTTTGCTTGCAAAATAACCAGAATGTATCACCTAAAGAGGTTTTAGTAATAATAGCGAATTGTAACCAGTACAACTCTATTGATCTTTACCCCGTAAAGTAAAAACATGGTCAACTAAACATAGAACAAAATTGAAATCGGGTTGCCATTGACGTAACGCATAAACGCATTTAGCAGGTGCTAAACTGCACTTATTGGTGATTGACTGTGATCTTTCACGGTATATGATATAGCGTAAACTGGTGACTAAAACAGCTACTGAGGTTGTCGGAAAGTTTGAAAAAATGTTCTTATTTGGACCACCAGTTTGTCTTCTAATGGAAAATATATTTCGGTCCAACATGTTTTTTTGAATGCTTATTTCACCATCTACAATAAATACAACTTATATATATATATATATATATATATATATATATATATATATATATATATATATATATATATATATATATATATATATATATATATATATATATATATATATATATACAATAAAATAAGTAATGGCTTGAGCAAGAAGAAGACATGTTTCTGTCTTATCACCGAGCCTCGTTATTTTAAAATCGTGATTTATAAATATCATATGAGTGGGTCAGAAGCCAAGGGGTACAAGTGATAATTTTACCAAAATTAAGTTAAGTATAGAATTTGATAGAAGAAGCAAACAAAATTGTTGGTGGCCAAGGGATACGAGTGAATCTCTGCCCTGTGCTGTTTTCTACTGGAAAAACATAACAACAGCTGAGTATATTTCAGCTGTCTTTGTTTTTTTTGGAGGCCAGGGGGTACAAGTGACAAACTCTTACACTTGTACTTGTTGTGCTCCAAAGTTTTAGGTTATTGCTGAGTGTTGTTTTGCAGAAGTCGTGTGTGTGTTTCTCTGAAGTTACTATTTATAGGTTAACTATTGAAAAGTGTTATCTGGAGTTTTAACAAAATACCTTTTTTAGTATTCTTACAAGAATTGTTATTAAGAAATGTTTTAAATTTACAATCATGAGTGACTCAGACCCTGATGACCCTCTTCCTAACCTATTTGGAGGTAAGTCATAACTTTATACTGAATAATAATACTGAAATAATACGAGTACACAACAATTTTATTTTTTCATTACATTATCCTTAGGTCTAGAAGTGTTACTATAAAACAGGAATGTTTAAACAGAACTAACCTAAAATTAAATTTACCCTCATTCCAGTAAGTTTGATTAGGTTCAGCACGTTTGATTAGGTACTAATGGGAACTACCAATATTAGTAATATGGTCCCTCAAAATGCTAAAGCTTTAGCTAACCAAAACTAACTAAACTAATGAATACATTGTACTCACTTTCTTGTGACCACAACTATATAAGTATTACCATAGTTTATTGTAATTTTATTCATTGTTATTTTATGACAGTAGTTTGAATCCTATAAAACGAATACAAATTACGTATTAGAAAAACGTAAACAAATAACAAAGTAAACAACTTGTCAATCGATAGTAATAATCTAATGAAATTTTCATCCAATAATATTGTAGGACGTCTGCGGAACTGCACCCTTACCAATTATTTTACACGATTCTTTTTGGTGAAATTTTCATTAGTTGTGTTTTGTTTTTCTAGATGACGATACTGATTTCGATCCAAATTATGAATAAGAAAGTCCAGATTCTGAAGACTCTAACTCAAGTGGACATCAAAGAGACTCAAGTGGCCTTCAAAGAAATGAAGGTAGGCCTATTTTATTATTGATCGTCAAACCTCAATATGACCTAGAAAACAATATTTTCTTTCTACCCTACACGTACACCCTTGCATAACACGTACACAATATTGTTCAATAATTGTACCTTGATTGTTCAAACCTAAAACCTACACTAAAACAAATAAGGTAGTAAAAAATAACTAACATTATGCCTAGCTGTAACAAAACTTATCCTATGGTAATTTTATGGATTTCCTTAGTGTTTCTCCCTTTCCTTCCTGTTACATAGGTTTGGACTGACAAAAAAATTTGACACTAACTTTTTTTTAGATGATGAGCTCGGAGATGACCCAGACAACCCACCACCAAAAAGAGCGAAACATCCTGGACGTAAAAAAACGAGAAGATAAACGTATGGAAAAGAAACATTTCTCATAAAAAACGCAACAAAGGTGAATCTTATATCGATAGAAAAGGTATCCACCATGAAAAGAAGCAAGTAAGAGAATGTATTCATAATTGTAAGTTTAAGTGCAATGACAGAGTCAGTGAAGAAGAAAGGCAAAACATTTTCAAACAATATTGGGAACTTGGAAGCTGGGAGCTCCAATCTGCCTAAATTCATCAATCAAAGTAGAAAAACCTCGAAGGAATAAAAAAACCGGACCACGATCAAAAATTTTGAGTTGCCAATTTTTTTTCCTTCCAAAAAATTCTTTCTCTGTACTCTTGATGTAACAAACAAACGAGTAACAAATGTAATTGATAAGAAGAAGAATTCTACCACTGGAATTGCTCCTTGGGACAAAAGAGGACACAAAGTTCCTGGAAATAAGATTTGTGAAGAAAAAATTGAATTTGTGAAAGAGCATATTCGTACTTTTCCAAAATACACAAGCCATTACTCTCGCACTCATGCTCTAAATTGAAAGTACCTAAGTTCCAATTTGAACATCAAAAGGTTGTACAACCTCTACAAAGAAAGCTGCATTGAACATGCAGTAGAGGCAGTGAAAGAAAGCTACCATCGTAATTTCTTTAATATTGAATTTAACCTGAGCTTTCATAAACCGCAAACTGACCCTTGCATCACATGTGACAGACTTCAGAACACGATTGATAATGGGCTGCCAGATGAACAAAACGATGCTGTTATACAAAAGGAGTTACATCTGCGGAAAGCAGATTTGGCAAGGCAACAAATAACGGACGCTAAAAAAGCTGTTAAGGGTGATGCTAGTCAATTAGTGATTTGTTTTGACCTGCAAAAGATGTTACCGTCTCCAGTTTTGACTTGCTCAAAAAATTACTCGAAATTTTGGTACTATTGAAAGAGCCCGCAGGAATATTGGAACAGGAATATTTGTGCCAGAGCACTGGATGGATGTAACTGCTAAATCTTCCAAGAGATTTTTAGTAGTTAACATGGAAGATCAGGATTTTATTTCTTTGCAGCCTTTGGAAAATCATTATGTTAAGGCAGTGACAGGTATTTGTTGTATGCAATGGTTAAAGTTTAAGAAGTCAGATCCTGACATACTCTTCTACAAGACAACTTTCAATACGGATATGCCTTTCTCTAAGTACAACATGAAGCCTAAAGAGGTTCCAACTCAACGACTTCCACGACAACTATCTGCCAAGAATGCTGCACCAGGAATAAAAGCAAGCAAGTACAAAGACTTGCAGAACTTGCTTCAGTTTATTCCACCACAATACCATGCCTTCTACAAGTCTTTGCCAGTTCAGCAGGTACGGCAACAACTCGAATGGGAGCGCTAGTGCCAACCAATGATGATGTTGGTAAAATCGAAGAAGAAGATGGACCCGAGGATGTTTTGGAAAGTGACTCTGACATTGAATAGTTAATTTGCACAATGTAGCAACTCTCAGAAGTTTTTTCATGTATATTAAACTTGTTTTTTTACTCTCTTTACTGAGGATTTTTCTTTGTAACTTAATAACCTTTGGACAACATGGGGTACGCTTGTTATCACTGTACGGTGATAACAGCCATGTAGGATTTAAATTATTTTATAAAATATGTTTCTAAATTTAAGTTAAAATGTACACAACCAAACAATAATAAATTTATTGTGTTATACCTCTTGGGTATTTAACAAAAATAACTTTAAACAGCTGTATCTCAAAACTATGAAAATGTCACTTGTACCCCTTGGCTTCTGACCCACTTATATTATATCGGTGTAAATATATAAAGTAGTAACTAGTAATTGCAAAATTGCTTACATTATCTTCAGTTGCAAAAAGAAAAGGAAGGCAGGTGCAATTGCAAAAAAACGATTTCATCCCTTTAGAGCGCCGTGTAGCAGATCTGCAACAAACTTTTTATTAGACTGACATTTGAGTATGGCTTATCTATTCATGTCAAAAATGCCTATTGTGATATATTTGCAACTTGCTTACGTTACCTATTTAATTTGAATATTAATAGCTTGTATTATCAAGGCAAACACCAACCCTCAAATCTTACTTTTAAAAAATTGCGGTATTGTCAGTAAGGTGGCTCCAAATTACTTTCTTTTATATAATTGTATGAGAGTTAAGATATGAAATAAATGTTTCTTTTAATATAAAAAAGGTTAAAAAAGGTTTTGGAAGTGTTTTTTTTTAGTTTTTATAGTTTTATAAATGAATAACATAGTTTAAATAGTCACAGAGCAAATTAATTCATACAGCACTCAATGTACTGGTTGAAGTATTAATGTTACACTACAAATAGAAAATAAGTTAAGACTTGGAACAATCAATATATCATTATCAGAGAAATTTTTAGCAAAGTATTTATTGAAGCATTGAGCCTTTTCAAGACTGGTGGTAAAAGAGATTGAAAAACTCATCGGTATCTATTTAAGGATGGGACTTGTTAAACATACATGAGCTACAATGGAGTTAGCTCTGTTTTGTAACGAAATCGTTTCTAGACTATGTTGCGTAATTTGCTTTTTGTTAATAATGTAAGCGTAACGTAGGAAACTAAGGACGGTGATTGTATTTAAAAGTTGCGCCTTTGGATGATAGGACTGCGAGAAAATTTTTTGAAGGTATTATGAGAAGAATTTCATAGTGTGGATGAAATCATGATTGTTTTTAAAGGAACGTCTTTAATAAAGCAATATCTACCAAAGAAACAAATCAAATAGAGGTTTAAACTTTGGGGTAGAAGTGGATAAAGCGGGTTTCTTTATGATTTTGATGTTTACCAGGGTAAAGAAACGGAATCGAGTAAAGCATCAACATATGGAGTTGGTGCATCTGTAATCCTCAGTATGTCATCCAGTTTACCATCTGGTCTTAACTTTAAAGTATTTTCAGATAACTTTTTACATTACTAACTGTTGGATGTACTTAAAGAGCGAGCTATTCGGTTTGTAGGCACCATTCGTACAAACCGTTTGAACATGTGTCCATTACTATGTGAAAAAGATTTATGTAAAGAAGGCCGTGGAAGCTATGATTATTGTACTGACACATATTTTTATTTAACTATGGTACGATGGTATAACAATAAAGCTGTCACTCTTATGTCGGAGTTGAACCAGTTCAAACTGTTAAACGCAATGACCGAAGTTTAAAAAGTATATATATATATATATATATATATATATATATATATATATATATATATATATATATATATATATATATATATATATATATATATATATATATATATATATATATGTTCATCAACTTTATATTATTAAAACATACAACAACTGTATGGGTTGAATTGATAAGCTTGATATGATATGGCGTCTTACAAAGCTAATCTTAAGTGTCATTGTTGGTATATATACATTTGGGCGCATACAATAGCGATTGCACTAGTAAATGCATGGTTTCTATACCGTAGAAATTTGAAAATAATAAACCTAAAAGCAAAGCATATGCCTCTAAAAAGGTTTCAAGCAGAGGTGGCAACAAGTTTAATAAAGGCAGAAAAATGTAAGGTTGGCAGACCATCTGTTGAAACTATGGTATCACCAAAGGCTAAAAGATCTGTAGTCCAAAGCAACCCAACGCAAGATGTCAGAAAAGACGGAGTAAACCATCTACCAGCATACACTGAGAAAAGACAGCGATGCAAAAAATGCCCTGCAGGGTTTTCACAAAAATGTAATGTATGGCTTTGTATGCAAAAAGAACTGTTTTAAGGATTTTCATGTATAAGTACTGGCACTACCAATTAAGAAATAAAAACATTTGAACACTTCCCATACCATTAAAAGCCCATTGTAGCAGACACACTACAATTTAAAAAAATAATTGCCAAAAAAAAAAATTCAAAATTTTTTTTTTTTTTTGTATTTTGCAACCCAAAAAATGTATTTACACAGTTAACAATTATTTTTTTTAAAGTTAAGCTAGGGTGGGATCTAATGGGTTATACTTGTAATAACATAAAAAACAAACAAAAAGAAAAAAAGTTACCTTGATTTTTATTAGAGCTTTATTTTATTTAAAAGAAACATTTAATATCAAGCATAGTGAGATCCATAAATAAGAACAACCGTTTAAATTATTTTTTAAATCGATCTAGAGTGGTTTTATATTTATTTGTAATATCTGGAAATAAATTTCATAAATATGACCCACGATACTTAATTGGGTATGAACTCAATTTTAAACTATATCTTGAGGCAGCAAAGTTATTGACTGAGAATCTTGTGCTATATTTATGGCAAATTTCACTAAAATAGGATTCAAATACTTTTGGCGACACTCCTAGTTCTATGCATAAAAACTATAATTTCATGTAAAAATATTTTTTAAACATTCTGCTCTATTTGCTCCAAATACAACTCAAAATGCATGTTTTTGTTAAAGTTTTTTTAATTTTGTATGATTGGTACTTGCCAAGGCGATATTACAGTATGTTAGGTAACTTTGGATAAAAGTATAAACCTTTTAGTGATTTAAAGTAAAGAAATGATTTAGCTCTATAAATCATTCCTATATTTCTAGAAATTTTGTTTTCAAAACTGTTTACATGAAAATTCAATCTTTAATTTTCGTCCAATTCAACGCCTAAAAAGTTTACCGATGATACTCTTTTAAGCTTTATTTTTAAATCAGGTTTGGTAACATTAATGGGTCGTTATCAGTTTTATTCAATTTTTGGAACAAAATGAATTTAGTTACAATCCACTCATTAACTTTATCTAATTGTTCATTAACATGTTTAAAAAGTATTTGTGTGAATAAAGGAGTTTAGTGTCATCTGCAAATAGAATAAAATTTATAAGATTTGATGATAAATAAAGATCATTTATGTACAGTAAAAACAACAATGGCACAATGGAATAGAGCCCTGTGGAAACCCACAAGTTATTGAGTGTTTAACTTTTTCTTTTAAATCGTAGCATATGAATTGTTTTTAGTTTGTTAAACAGTCTTTAAACCAAAGTAAATTTTTATTTCTAATGCCTTAGTGTTCAAGTTTACTTAGCAGTATATAATGGTTTATTGTATCAAAGGCTTTGGACAGATAAATGAAAACTCCTAAAGTAAAATAATTGTTGTTAAGAGCGTCCGATATCTCGTTTACAAGTTCTACTTCTGTGGTTCGGTTGAATGTTTTTTTTTGAACCGGAACTGTTTTTTATACAAAATTTCATAATCATAGAGCCTGTTGTACATTATACGCTCAAGTATCTTTAAGAAAAAAGGCAAGATTGAAATTGATCTGTTGTTTGAAATGTTGGAGTCATCTCCACTCTTAAAAATTGGTGTGATTCAGTCAATTTATAACTTATCCTAAACAACACCTGATTTTAAAGAAAGTTTTAGGATACGTATAAAAGTTGTTTCAATGGCATCAGGTGCAGGTATTAAAACAATGGCGCTAGTTTTATCAAAACCTGCGCTTTTTTTTTTTTTAAGGTTATTAAGAGAATCTTGCAATTCGCAAACTTTAAGACTAGATTTGTCCATATGCGTACTTTATCTTTTTAAATAAAAATAAAAACTTGCTGAGCTCAGCAGAATTGTTTTAGCTAAGTTTGGCCCAATTGTAGCAAAGAGGCTGACAAGATTCTCAGCAATAGAAGATTTTTGATAAACTAGCTTTTTATTAAGGGGGAAGTACCCTAAAAATGTTAAAACTTATGTTCAGGCAGTAAAATAGTTTTCAAACAATATAACATATCTAAATTTTATATTTCAGAATAAAAATTTTCAAAAATTGTATTTAGTTGCCATGGTGATCAAGAAAATTTTGAAAAAATAATCAAAAAACAGTTAATGCCCTGGCTAACTTATCAGAAGAGTT